TGGTGAAAACAGGCAGCCTTGGTCCAAGCTTGAAGTTCACATGAAAAAAACCAGACAAAGCTGAGGGAATCATTAGCTGAGAACATGAGTTGCTAGGTGCAACAAATCAGATCATCATGGTCAAAGAAGCACAAGAGAAACACATTAAAGGCTATGCCCACCCTGTGCTTCTGTTTCAGTAAACTGTCTGTAGCACGAGGCATGCAGGACTGCAGGCTGTAGCCAAAGCATTAATACATGAAATTAATTTGACCCCTACATTTGGTATTGAAGATATTTTATTTTTAAAAAAAGTCCAAAATATGCTTTGACACAGAAGACTTCTAACAGACCATTTAATTAACGTCTGGCCACCCACCCTACAACTTTGATTTTGAATATGGGCATCTTCTTGGCTGTAGCATTAATCTGACATGTCGGAACGAGCATCACTTGTATTCTCAAGTCTATAAGCACTGAAAAATATGAGTAATATAAATTACTTATTTTTTAATGGATCAATAATCTAAATACTGAACAGTTGAGAAATACACATTTCTAAATGATGGAAACAAGAAAAATGGTCATTGATTTTCCAGCAATTCAGTTTTCCAGAGGAGAGCCACAGAACCTTTGTATGCAGCTTTTGGGGCTTTCTAGTCATTACATCCATTGAATATAAAACTGTTGCATTGCAGGTAAATTTTTCTATTGCTGTCCTTGCTTTGATATCCCTTCAATTAAGTGGTTGGGGAAAAAAGCCTTGGGGGGTCTGCAAGTTAGCTTGTGCCATAGACTGGTTAATGTTTGTGGTGAAGGTGAGTGTGAAGCACATGCCCTGGAATATGAATGTTACTGGGAATTGCTGAGTACCTGGAGAGTTAAATCACTCGGCTTTTTAGGTTGTGTGCATTGCTATCCTGGATGTATGGGTATTCAGTGAAACATAAACTGCTGCTGTGTGATGCTCTTTCCTAACCCCTGCCTACTCTTTCTGGAGTTGCTCTCCTCAGTATGTTTTAAGAGCTCTTGCAAGAGGTGATGTGAGCCTAAAGCCTGCTAGTAACAGCTGTTTTGTGAACTTTATTAACAAATTGTAAGTGTAAGAAAAATCACTTTTGGCAAAAACACTTTGCCTTTTTTTTCTTTTTTTGTTTAAACAACTAAAAATCCAAGAGCAATTCCATCTTTCTGAGCAGCTCTGAAATTACCTAGGATGCTGCTGGGTCCATTAGCAATTCCCAGCTCTCTTTTTTTTTTTTTTTTTTTAGAAGTTTTTAACCTGGTTTTCTAAGATTATGTAACCACATCATCAGTTCATTTGCTGTATCCCTATCCCTGCAACCAAGTTGAGTCCGAGGACTGAGATTGAGAAGGTGCTGGTTACTTCACCTTGTACATCACAAAACCATCCCTCCCTTTCACCCTGCTCCTGGTGGCTGGTGTCTTGTGAGTTTATGAGCTGCTGAGCAGCAACAGATGCCATCCTCTGCTTACTCAGATTATATTTACTGAAGAGGTGGTGAGATCTTGTGGAAGTTTGGAAAAGTATGAATTCTTGATTAGTTGTCACTAGATGGCTCAGAGGTGAAAGCAGTGGTGTCTTAAGGGAAGTAAGCAGTTCTTGAGCATTGTGGAAAAGCACTATTTAAAAACTCAGGCTTGTGGTCGGAGACCTCTGAGAAGCAGTGGCAGAGCTTAGCTGCCCTTTTTGCCTTCTGAGATCACTTTAAAAAAAATAATATATATCATAAAATACAGCCTGTCAGCCAATATTTGAATTCAGAAGGCACAGCAGCAGAATTCTGTTGTGCTCAGCTTCTGCAGTGACATTGAACTAGACGAGAATTGCTTCAGAGTGTTTAATTTGTTATGGTATATATACATGTTCCTTCCCATTATCTCACATATATTTCAATTAAGCCTGAATGCAGAAGAAAAAGTAAAGCACTGAGGTGTTGCTGCCGAAGGGTTTAGGCATGAGGCTTTTAACTGTGGAAATGTCATTTCCAAGTTGAAATGGTTCTAAGTGAGTTTTCTGGTCGGGGTGGAAACTGTAGAACTGTGAAAAAGAAGTGCCAAATGATGATTTTAATGCTTATGTTTGAGGAGCAAAATAAGAAGCAAATACCCCTGTGTGTCATTGGTTAGCGATGGAGTGTGCTCCATGGTCTTCCAGGGATGCCAAGGGCAGGAGCCAGTGGTGGGACGTCAGCTGAGCTTACGGGCTCTTGCAGACTTCAGGAAGTGTTTTGTTCCCCTTAATGCCTGCTCTGTTTTCCTTACCTTCAGCTGGCTCTTAGGATTAATTTGTGTTCTGAGCTTTCAAGAGCACCTTGCCTCGGACCCGCTGGTGTGCCCGGGATGATGCCCATCGTGGACGATTTCAGCTCATCAAACTCCACCAAGCGAGGCTACTGCTGGGGTACCTGGGAGTTGTATTTTTCTCATTTCGCTTCGTTTTTGGGCTCTCTGCTTCCTCAGCAGATGGCATTTTTATCATGTTTTCGGAAAGTCCATATGGCCTACAAGAGAGAGTATCTTTTTAATTGTAAAACATGACCACCTGTTCTGACTTTAATGAATGCAGTGAGCATTTGTCTTCATATATCTACTTAAAAATAGCTGCTTCAATTGAATTTAAAAAAACCTCAATCAGGCACCAACACTTCAGCTGCTGAAATAATCAATTAATAATTAAGTGGCTAATTTTAGAACCCCCTGGCCTTGCCTGTTCCCTCGGACTCGTTGTGATCAGAGCAGACAGTGATTGATTACCCTGCTGAGCCACGAGGCACATGCGGTGCTGGGGCCAGATGCCGGCAGGCTTTGAGCTGTTTATTGCGGTATTTAGAAGGTGAATGCAACTTTGTGTCTCTGCTCTGCAAATGGACTTGTCTTTCCTGCTCTGGCTCTTTCCTTTCCGCATTGGTCCAGCTGCTCACATGCAGCCATCCGCAGGTACCCCTTTCCCTGCCACCCTCTGAAGGATGAAATGTGATGCTTAAAAGGTATCCTAATGATGGGCCAGCTGGAGAGGAGGTTGAAACTGTGAGCAAAAATAAGCTTGAAAGGCTTATCCACTAACTGGCTCCTAATAGAAAGCCCTGCTAGAATCATTCTGCTCATTAAAATAATAATTGCCAGTTAACTGTTTCGTAGCTCCCGCAGCAAGTACGCCAGCCAGATGAGAAACTGGAATATTTTGGCTCAAGCTTTCAGGGAAATGGAAGGGACCAGGTTGCCCAAATCTTGTTAAAGGAGTGTTAACAATTCAAAGTCCTTTTGAAAAATTAACCTCTTTATTGAATAAGCCTGTCGCAACATTATCTTGTTCTAAAGCTAATTAAAATGCCCAAACGGTAGCAACACTCTGGGATTTTGGTCAATAGTGTCAGCTGGTCAGAGGGTTAATATTTTAAAGGTAGAAGAAACAGGAACGCTCAAAAGAGTGTTCGGGGGTACAGCACTTCCCAGACTTTCAGTGCTAGCAGTAACGGGCACAATAGCTGCTGGTTTCAACGCAAGTGGGTAATTCAACAGTTTGGTGTAAGTGGTGGAGAAAACTTGATGTGGCTGCGTGGAGCGTCTGCATTTACACATTGAGGAGAGAGCGAGCCAGAAACCTCTTACCAGAGAAGTCTCTGAACCCCTCAGAGTATGCAGAGAGCAAGATGCTGGAAGCAGTTAGAGGGGAAGGAGACTTGCCTGCTTACCTCGTTTTACTGGAGGTGTTTCTGACACAGCCCCCCATCCTGCCACGTCTGCCAATTAGCCTGTTAATACGGGTGAGAAGCTACCCTTGCCGGTGTGGTGGCGCTTGCTGTAGCCTGATTGATGTAAATCCAGTTATCTCTCAAACCACATGGGATTTTGAGACAGCTGGGTGTTGTTCGTATGACTGAGAGCCCTGCTATGAAATGCTGTGCAAATACAAAAATAACCGTAGCTATTGGCATTTAAATTCATTTCCATGTAATCTTTGTGATAAACTTCCATTGCTGGGGTGTTATTTCAGTGGGAGGAGGGTCAGAGCAGTTTTCAGCTGACGTCTGGGTATCGCAAGTTGCTTCGTGAGAAAGACGACTGTCTCTGTTTCCTTGTGTGTGTGTGGCCTTCCCTCCCTGAGCTTCCAGAATAGCAAGGAATAATTAAGTGAAGTTCAACTTTAAAGGCTGAAAGTCAGGAAGGGAGAAGCTTATTAACCTTGTTGAGCTGGAAACAGCGCTGGAGGTGTTTGAGGCTTGGGTCTCGTGGGGTTTTCTCTTCCTATTTTTCTGTTTTCTTGGGAATTGACACTTAGTTGTGCAGAAAATAATATGTATTGTTAATTCTGTTGCGATCCCTTTTATGTGGTTGTGGCACTGCAGCACATCTGTGAATTAAATCTTAAAAAGAAGCGGAATTCAGTCTGTTCTCTCATTAGCAGAAATGCTAATTCTCTCTTGATTGGTACTAAAATCAAAGGAGAGAAGCAAAAACCCCAAAAGTATGGAGGTTACCCATTTAGGGTAAGCATGAGAAATTGAATCCCTATTTTCCATGGTCCCATTTAAATAGCAAACAGACTGGTTTTGGCCTAGGTTCTTCAACAGTTTTCCAAGAGGGGACAGATTGAGGAAGGAGAAGGGGGCGCAAGGAATTAGAAATGGCAATTAGAGTGGCTGGGCAGGGAACCAAGAAGGCAGGCAGGAGAGGCGAGAGTCCTTTTAGCTGCTGGCTTGCACATGGGTGAAACGGGCTTTGTGGGAAGACACACATACGTGCACACACATGTGGATGCACCTTTCCCACCCGCTGACTCTTTGAAAGGCTGCTTGGACCTTTACCGACTGAATTTGGGGGCTGTTTTAAGAAGCCTGCTTAAACACTCCTTTGCTGTAGTGCAGCCTGTTTATCCTCATTGAAGCTTTAAGCGAGATGTGGAAGCTGCAGGCAGGATTTTTGTGAGCTGACTGTTAGAGGTCCTGCGCGTAGTTCCCATCTGATTAAGTTTTGCCTGTCTTCTTTCTCATCTCCAGATCACTGTGTTCACTACTACGATCTTCGCAACACTAAGCAGCCAATCATGGTGTTCAAAGGGCATCGCAAGGCAGTCTCCTACGCAAAATTTGTGAGTGGGGAAGAAATCGTCTCTGCGTAAGTACTGCCTTTTACGTAGGCTAAAAACTTTGTAGCCCTGGCTTTCCGGCGCTCTTCAGGGCCACTGTGCAAGTTCACCTGTGTGGGTGGGTGCGCTCGCTAGCTGCTGTGCTTTTGGGAAGCAGAGTTGCTTTTTTTCCAAGACAAAAATAGAAATTCATTCCTGGTGTTACTTGGCTCTACTCCTGTCTTGTGGAGCTAAAATGCTTAAGAGGAATCCGAAGACAACTAGATGCAGCTTTTGACCACAAGCCCTGACTTTGGGAAGCTGCAGGTGGACCCTCCTTTTACGAAATGCTGTGTGTGCTGAGGAAGCTCCTGACCAGAGCTCTGCTGTAGAGAAAGCAGAGCCCCGAGGATAGTAATCTGCAGTAAAACACAGCTGATGAGTGACAGAGTGATCAAATGCTACCGCTATGTCTGAAGAGGAGGTTTAGCCACAGCCTGAAAGCAACTTGAGTAGGATTGACTGATCTGTTCTCTGGTAAATTATTAATCTGCTCTGTGAACACCCTTTTTAGGATTATACTTGGGTTAGAAAATAGACAAGAAATCGTGTTTTGTGGTCCTGATGGCGTGCAGCTTTTCAGCCAGGGTAGTCTGCTATAGAGGCCCTGAAGAATAATATTCTACAGCTTTTTTTCAGTTACGTAGCTGGATGTGGCTGCCTTAGTTCTAGGTAGGTTTTCAGTCATGTGAGAATGACATGTCTGTCAGATCACATAGTGAAAGCTTTGAATGACTGGCTACAAGCCTCTTCAAGAAACCAAATGTGAGCCCCTCTTACGCAGTGGCAAAAATGCAAGCAACCTTGGGGGGCTGCTGGGGAATCTTTGATCTCGACACACTCGTGTATAACACCCGAGGGCATCAGGGATGGGTCACAGGGGTATATCTAGTCCCAGAAAGTACGCCTGCTGCTTTGTACTGAGCCACTGGTTGTCTAGCTTGGCTCTGTCCCGTGTTTTCACACAATTTGCTCTGGAAGCCTGGAGCCAAAGCAGAGCATTTTAAGGTATATTCAGGCTGCTAGTGAGTTACTCTGAGCTCTGTGATGAAAGATTCCCTGGTGGCTTCTGGTACTGTTTATATTTAATCAGCTCCTCTCTTCTTATTTCCATTAACATTATAACTCTATAAGGGTGCAAATTCATACCTAGAACACAGAGAAAATTAAATTTAGTGCTTTGAAACAAATCTGGGTAAGAAGAAAGTGTTTAATAGAAGCAGGAGAAAGCTGGGAATGTTTTACAGCTATGATCAAGTAGAGCATCATCCATGGGATGTTTCAGGACAGAATGGCCCTGTCCTGCTTGAGCTGACCATCTGAGAAAGCTTATCCCACAGTGCTAGGAGGAATATCAATAGAGTTGTCAGACTTGGACAGGCAACAACAGGGTGAGGGGATTAACTGGAGGGTTCACCTATCTCTTTCTGCAGGAACAGAAAGAAATGTGAGAGTAGATCAGATTATTTTTCGTGTCTGTCTTTTGCAAACTGAGGAGAGGAGACAGCAGTAGTGATTCCCAAAAATCAAGCACTGATTTCGTTTAAGAAAAAAATTGTATGTATATTCAGATTCTCTAGATTTCTAGCTAAAGCTGTTTTATAGATTGCATTGATTTACTTTTGCCTTGTAGAGTTAGGTTTTGACCTCGAGGATGTTCAGAACTGCTTGGTATTTAGCACAACACATTGATTGCAGTGCTGATTTACAGAGAGACAGATTTAAGAGCAGTGCATCCATGATATTTTTTTGGAGAGGGTATGAAACGAGAAGAGCAGTGTAACACCAGCAGGATCAATGGCCTTTTCCTCTCCTTGCAGTCCTGTGGCAGATAACTTTCTTCTTTTATGGCATGCTTATCCTAAGCAATGCGAACATGGCTAGAGCTTGATGGGAATTTGTTAACAGTAAAAGCATTCCATTAGTAATAAGTGTTTTTATTTTAATGAAGAGATCTAGAATGTATGCTACTAAAATACAGAGGTTAAGTGCCTATATATATGAGGTCTTCTTGATGGCTTAGCTAATAGCAGAAGCTGTTACAGGAATCTGACAGCTTGTAGACCAGGGATTAGTCTTTTGCTGCTTTACCCCGCCTTCAGAAAAGTTTAGTTTTCAGCCAACTCTGAAGCTTTTAAAAGCAGCATTTTAAAAATACGGCTGCCCTAATAGCACAGAAGGCACCTCCCTGTACCTGTGGGCCAAAAAAGCAGTAGTATATACCTTTTTGCCATTTCTATGAGCTATGCTGCTACTGTGACAGTAAGGATGAAAGAAGGGAAAGGCGAGTGAGCAGCAGCATGGGGCAGGGATGGACATGGAACAATCCTCAGGCAGAGAAGCTGAATACTCTGTTTTAGGGCCCACCTTAGTCAAGACCTGGGATGAGGAAAGTACTCCTACTTAAGTCACCGTATTACAGATAAAGTTCATACATTTGTTCTGATCTGACCTCATACTATTATTACAAATGACTAACAAATCTCGCTGCAGCTCCCTTATCGCTCCTTTGTCATTCCAGCTGTCATTGAGGGCTGAGATAAGTTTTTGCGGTATAGCACAAGCTGCATCTCTACTCTTCTCTGCTATATTTTTAGGTAAATGTGACACTGGTGCAGGGGCTAATTTGTTATATCATTCATAATGTTTGATGGATATTGGGGGGGGCGGGTCTCTTGAGCTCTTAATATTCAGAAAGCAGCAAGGTTGGGTGATGTGACTTGGAAGAGGGGACTGTTACCTACCTCCCTTTCCTCCCACCCAGGAGGCTAACAGGTCCTGCTCCCAATCTCTTTCAAATTTAAGATTGGAACAGCACTAGCCATTTTCAAGGGTGGCTTCACAGGGCTCCGGTCCCACCACATCAGTTTTTCTTCACCTATTGTGGAGTGTATTGCTATAAGTCAGTGAGTACCAGAATATCAGAGCCTGGCAATTGCTAGAGAATAATGCTTGGCAAGTGAGAGGGTTTTACGTCCCCTCGGGTTTAGGGGAAGAAATTAATCCTGTATCTTCCGGAAGCCTGGGATCTTCCTGTTTCAGTTGAGCTCTGCAAGGCAGAGGAGAGTACCTCTGCCTTCTTTATTTTGCCAAAGGGAAAATGTTTGCTCACAGTAAATAGAAAAATATTTTGAAGGCAGGTATGTTTGCATCTGGGGGAACAGTGGAAAACATCAATTTTGATTTAATCCCAACAGAGTTTGTATATTTTTAATAGTAATATTTAGCTTTGCTGCTAAGGTGAAAAAAGTGGAAGTTTGAGATCTGTATCCATGCAGTCTCAATTACACATAAGAAAACCACATCAATTTAATGCTAATAGCAACTCTGAGCCCCCATAGGTTTTTATATGCTTCTGCTTGGTATTGGGCAGGAGGAGGAGAACATGCTTTCAGGGCAGCTGGAGAGGGAGGAGGCTGCTTCCTACCAGAGTCCTGTAAAGGTATGAATGAGAGTTGTAGCCAGCGCAGAGAAGGGAACAGATTTTGTCCATGCTGTAGAAGTTAAAAAACCAATATTCAGTGTGTCCTGGATCTGTGAGGATCTGGAGGAGACAGCGATGGCCTAAAGGCTGTACAGTTCAGTGGAGGGCTCTGTAATTGATAGGAGAAAGGAAGAGTAATACCTGGGGGAAGTTTTCTATTCAAACATGTAATGTGTTTTGACAGGGTTCTAAAATAATGTGATACCTTTCCAAGCTCAAGCTGAGTTGCATATGACTGAAAGTGGGATAAATCTCCTGGAGTGCAATAAGACTTCCTACGTTTACATTGCAAGTAGGGTGTTAAGGAGCAGGGTTGCAAGTGAGGAGTACCTGCCGTATGGCAGCAGGGTAACTTTAGGTATTGTTTTCAGGTCAACAGACAGCCAGCTGAAGCTGTGGAATGTAGGGAAGCCTCACTGCTTGCGCTCCTTCAAGGGTCACATCAACGAGAAGAATTTCGTAGGGCTCGCATCCAATGGAGACTACATTGCCTGTGGTGAGTAAAGCAGCCATCCTGACAAGTGCTAATGGGACTCCTCAGAGCTGGTGCCTCTCCAGTTGCAAAGCACATGAGCAGTTGTGCAACGTAGCTGCATGGGATTTTTAATAGAGGATTATTCTGAACTTCCACTCTTGTTCCCTTCCCAGAGAATGGCATAAGGAGCCCTGACTTAAGAGGGTCTGTACTTGGTTTTCTCCCATTTCAGATAAGTTCTTAGTATATGACCATTCAGACTTGCTGTCACCAAAAGTCAACTGCTATTGTAGCCACTGTTGATATCACTTATGTCTTTCAAGTTTCTCAACTGACACATCCCCATGCGTCTTTCTAAGGAAGGGCAGTAGCCTGGACCATGCAAGTGGTCCTCTACTTGTCACTCGGTCTGGCATTCTGCACGGCGAAGCACTAACGCCCTCATTGTGAACAGCTCCCTAGACTAAATCATCCTGAAGCAGTTACCCCTTTGTCAGATTCTGTCTTCTCACAGCTTAAGTTGGCCTGTTGAAACTGTAAATCCACAGGTCTTGGTGGGAAGGCAGTGACAGGCTGATTGCTGTGTGATGAGCAGGACAGCTGTGCCAGCACTGAAGGGAGGACCTTAGCTTGTATATACTCTGATCTCTGTACAGCTTGCAAGGCAGAAATTGGGATGGATTTCTAAATAAAGCCTGCACACTGTCTAGTCTCTCTTACTTAAACCTCCACAGAGCAAACTGTCGTACTTGATTACAGCAAGCAAAACCGCGACAGTGCTACCTGCCTCAGAGCTATAGCGCCAAGCAGGCTGGGTGTAGCAGCATTTCATGTGGTAGTATAGATGCTCTGCTCTGCCCTAAGGAAGTTATGGGGGACATTTGGGATCTTGTATGTTTTGCAAGTCCGCTGCATACTGCAGTTGTCTTGTAATAAAACCTGGTTTTGTTATTAAGCGTTGTGAAAGTTTGCTTTGGAGCACTCCCAGTTGCCAAGGTACCATAAGCGTGATGATAACTACAAGGAGGAAATGTCTGGTCTTGTCTTAAACAATGAAAGAGCTAGGAAGCCTTATTTCTGTGCCTGCTACCAGAACCTAATCTTGTATATTTGGTTTTTTATTTCTAGGAAGCGAAAATAATTCCCTTTACCTATACTATAAGGGCCTCTCAAAGACACTGCTGACGTTCAAGTTTGATACAGTCAAAAGTGTCCTGGACAAGGACCGGAAAGAAGATGACACAAATGAGTTTGTGAGTGCTGTGTGCTGGAGGGCACTGCCAGATGGGGTAAGCTTTCTGCTCAGGCACCCAGCTGGGTGTGAAAGGAATGCCTCCTTGAAATAGCATTGCTGAGGGTTTGACTGCACTTGGTATTTTCCTGTTTATGGGTGTTGCGGATTGGCATGAGAATGTGAAGATCTGCAGGGTAACTGAAGTGCTGGGGGATGCTGGAGGAGAAGGGACTGCTGTGCTCTTAACTCTTCCACCTGGGTGTTTGAATTTCTCTACTTGGTATCTGAAATCCCAAAAGCAGCATTGTATTTCTGGCACTTAATGGTTTTGTGGGTGCATTAGCAGGTTTCTTTTGTTGCTTTAATGAAGGCACCTGCAGATACTCATGGTGGAGCCTTATCTCAATGTTATCATGTCTATATGGGCTTGCTCATTGAAATACAGCCCACCCACAGCCCCTACATCCCTCCCCCAGTGTTTAGATGAGTAGATATGTAAAGGAGGCAAGGCCAGGCTGCAGTCACCTCAATGACTGTTCCAGTGACACTTAATTCATATATATAGTATTTGTACTAATGCTGCAGGCAGACCCGACGCTGCTTTTGTGAGTGGCCTTTCAGCACAAAGCTGTTCTGGAGAACAAAATGCTGCTTTTAAATTCAGAGTGCTCTTGAAATCCTTGCATAAAAAAAAACAAACAAAAAAAAAACTTGAGCAAGTAACTCTTGTAGGTACAAGGGTTTGCAGATCAGATACTTAATGGACTTGATGGGAAGGGGACGAGAGGAGCTCATCCTAAATACAGTCTTCCAAGTAGCTAAAGTGGAATGTTGCCTAATTGATGTCCTGAGATGTTGCATTCACAAAGATAGTGCTTTAGAAGAGTAATGTCTACCAATCTGTTTCTGTATGAAGAAACTGCCCCCACAACTGTGCCAGTGACAACTGAATCATAAACTTACTTCAGATAGGCGCTTCTGAATCAAAATAAAAATAAACCTGAGTGTCTGAAGTTGCACTTTGAATTTAAAAGTAGAAAGAGGGCTGTTGTGGTCGAACAGAGTGGGCATGAGACTAAGTAATGTGTGGTCACCAGCTTCTTTCTGGCTGGGGATTTAGGAGGATTTGGTATACACAGATAGCACTTCTCAGATGAAGAGTGGCTGTTACAAGTTGCATAATCCATCTTTCTGCTGGATAGAAATGTGCTGCAGGAACCTGTGTGTCCAAAAATGCCCTTCCCTGAACTTTCTTCTCTGCAGTGTTTCTGTGCTGGGTTGTGCTGCCCACTGACCTCCTGCAGAGCTTTTCTACGGGCAACAGACTAATGGTGTTGTCTCACCCCAGTCTTATTTCTGTTGCCATCCACTCCTTATCAGCCTTTTCTCTGATTAATGTGCTTAACTCTGATAGATCTTCTGCTTAAGTGACTGAGAAAGTTTTGAGCAGTCACTAAGGGCCATCAAGTAATTCTTCATAACCAGTATGAAAAACACTGTGCAAAAATGTTAAATCAGGCTCATCAAGATAGCACCAAATAATGTTCAGGCTTCAGTCCATTAAGCAGCATTTAGAACCCGTCACTATTCTGATTGTTCGGGTTTTTTCCTCCATCATTCCTCTGCTTTTCGCTGGGCTTCTAAATTAGCCTGTTTCTCTCATGGCAGCCACAGTACCTGGCTCTTGTTTGTAAAGAAAGCAGTGAAAAGCTGCCTGTGATCTGATTGACACTGGCTGAGTGTTTTGCTTCTGTGTTTTACCTCTGCCTGTGGTGCATGCCATCCTGCTTTACATACTGAGCAAGCAGCCTCACTTGCTTTTGCCAAGAGGCCTTAATTCTTCCTTACACTGTATGTCCTGTCCCCCTGAGATGAGAAGTACTCTTCAATGCAGCTGCACATTGCTCTTCCCTCTCGTACCAGCGCAGCGGTCCTCTCCGACCTAATTGAGGCTTTGCTCATGTTCTTATGAAATTAAATTACTGCACAGCCAAAGGTCACTTATGTCCACAAAGTCTTGCTCAAACAATGAAACTTTCATTCTCCATTTTGCCAAATTTAAGAAATATTATCATAGAATTTTTCAAATGAGCTTCATATATACAGGCTTCCCTAAAAGCTGACGTGTGTTTTAATGATGCTTGGACGAACTAGAGAAGGCCTTTGCCTTGCAGTACTGTCAGTATCTGTGGGAATTGGGGAACCCACAGCCTATTTCTGGCTTAATTGCAGGCTTTGATCCTGTGTGAGTCACTCTGCCTTAGTTTCCTAATTATAAGTTACCACACCCACCTTTCACCGCTGGCGGTGTTCACGCCTGCTCTGCTGAAGGGCGCGTGCATCAAAGCAGCTCCAGCCTAGCAGCAGCAGCACAGAGCCCAGCGCAGGCTGGGAAACCTGCCCTAGAGCTTCAGTGAGCACGGTGAGTAAGCTTTATACTGCTGTGGGTGTGCTCTTCTCTGTGCCTTGCTGGGCTGGTTCAAAGCCATCTTGCTTGTTTCCATGCCGGTCACTGGGCAGTAGCTTCAGTTTATTACCTCAAGTGTTTCCAAGGGGGGGAGATGCAGGCACTGCTTGCCAGCCTTTCCCCAGGGCTCCCCGGTGGAGCAGACACTCCTTGGTTTCCCTACGGTGTTGCTCTCAAGGATTGTTCTTTAATTAACCTTTTGAGATGAGATGAGTAAGTTTCAGATCTGTCAGTTATCTTGGGAAGCATGAGTACATGTACGCCTTCACTTCACGCACTTAAGTGCAAAATCTTGGATCCTAATTAAAACTTAACTAAAACTTTCAGATGAAATGTCATTGATTCTTTCTTAAATCTATTTTTATGTAATTCAAGCTTTTACTTCCTCCTGAGCCGAAGTCAAGCTGTGCCAGCAGCCCTTGCCAGAACCCATCTTTTTTCTTCCCTCTGCATTGGTTTTCCTTTGCTTATGAAGATGCAGGGACCTTTTTGCTAGAGCTGTCACCTTTCCAACCGCAGAGGTCCAGCCAGCACCTTCTTTCCACGTCTGTCAAAGCCATAACAAGGGAGAGAAATTATTCTCCATAAGTGCTTATTAGCATTTTGCATCAGGCTTACTCACTTTTCAACTCTTAGGTGATGTTTAGAAATAAGCACTAGCTTGCAGGCTAATAGTTTTGTTAAACTCTTTGGAGAAAAAAAAAACAAAAAACAAGCAAACAAAAAATCTCTCAGCAGGTACATCAGCAAGCAAACCTTTGCTCTGCTTCTTTTGGTGCTGTGTTTTGGACAAAGCTAAATAGGCTGTTTAATATTTTTTAAATAGAACTTTATAGTTTGTGGGGAAAACAATTTCTCTCTTCTCATTTGACTCTAAAAATTGCTCAGTATTTAGAAGTAGAGAAAGTTTCAGGACACTTTTGGCCTAAGTGACCTGATAAACACAAGTTAGACACAGAGATGCATTTCAGAATCTTCTCTGAACCAAATCCTTTAATTTTCCAAGTCAAGGATTTTATAATATACCTGTGCCATCCTTTGTTTCTGGCACCTCAGCAAGATTTAGCCAGCTTGATTTGAAACGTGAATCTGGTTTCAAGATTGGAAAATACATTCTTCTATTTCATTAGCATGTAAGCAGACAATGCCCTGCCATATAGCAATGCCCTTGCATGTAGGGCAAGGAAATTACAGTATTCATAGGAGCTCACTGCAGCTAGGTAGGTAGAGATTGTTTTATTTGTCTTGGGAGGGTCACTCCAGTTTTGTCTAGGTACGTGGATAGTAGCTGGAGGAGACTGGTTTGTAGTTTGTTTTCCCTTATGTGTCCTATGTGATGTTTTCCCCTTCCCTAAAGGGGACACCTTTCATTCAGACCTGCTTTGCCATATTGCAGAGTTTGAGATGTGCTTCATACAGCTGTGTTAAATAATTGCATCTCAGGTAGCCCCTTTCCCAGTCATGGTTAGTGTTTCTCAGAAAGAAGCTGTCAAAAGAGAAACCAAGGCTGAACCTGCTCCCAGGACAGCAAAAAGGTATTACCATTGAACACAGAAGCAATTTGATTATGTAGATTAAGTATGGTTCAATCTATCATAATCTCTGTAAAGAAGCCATTTAATTTTGTACCTGTTTGTATGAGTATTCATTACTGCTGATAAGCAGGTTAGCCAGGGAAAGATTTCTCAAGCAGAAATGTTGAGGCTTTGATACCAGTGAGGAGATGCAGATAGGAGCATGAGAAAGCCATGCAAATGAGCTTAGGTAAAGCTTTATGTACACTTTTTTTCTTTTAGAGGGGTAAAGAAGGGGAAATCCATTGAGAACAGCGTTGCAGGCTTTAACCAAGTCATCTCGCTGCAGTGAGTGGATGGGATGGTGGTATGTGCTGGATGGGTGCAGCTCCTGGCACTTAGGAGGAAGGCTCTTGGAGCAGTGGCATGGCAGTGATATGAAAGCATCTCCTCTGCCTGACAGGGGAGAGCAGAAACTCATGTATATGTTTTCTCACCTCATTGTCACTCTTCAAAAGTAATTTTAATTTAGGGGAGTCTCAAAGAAATCATCTAGCCACAAGTGAGAAAAGCAGGCGCTGGGCCTCCGGGCTTCAGGTTGCCTTTAGGCACTATCGTATGATGGAAGTATCTTCATAATTAGTCTTGCATCTCTGAACTTCTCTTTGTTACTCTAAGAGGACAGGAATATTGCCTTCAAATAGTTTTTTGGTGCATCTCTTCTGAAAACAGGCATTTTTCCATTTTTCCTTTCCTCTGAACATTCAGCTTTGTTTCTTAATGATGTCTGGCTTGAATTCTTTAAATAGAAACCTATGATTGTACTGCAATAAGCTGGTCACTTAATGAGGCTGTAATCTTGTTCACTGATGAAAAGTAGCCATCCTTTGTTTCCCAGTAGCCTAATAAATGGTACACAACGTACACAGGAGCTAGTCAGGGACTTTGATAATTTACAATCAGCAAATTGGCTCCCTTCACTGGAATTAATTTAGCCAATACAAATTATTTCGGGAAGTGATTCATTGCCATTTTAAAGCGCTAATTAATTTGGATGACTTATGAACATTAAAA